TCCAAAGGATGTTGCATTATTATAGTTTAAATGTAGCAGATGTTCTCCGAACCTCCTGGAAGCCTGTAGAAACCTTGAGGTCACATTGAGGATTCAGATGTCCTTGTGAAGCACCGAGGCATAAACGTCCATTCAGATTTTTAGATGCGATCATTAAAAAAAAACATCCTCACGGTTGTGGAGAACCTTTGAAATACGTAAATAAGTCTCTGACTGATGCTCGATCTCAAAACACGAGTGAAATTGCTTTCTTTTCTGTTGGCGAGTTCCGAAATGTGTGGTCCCGTCCATGCAGCTGGAGTGAGAAGTCTGATCCGCCCAGTAAGGGCAGCCTGTTTCTGTTCTTACCGCACCAACTGAGCTCTGAATCAGGAACATAGACGTCTGAGTTTAAGGAGGTCTAGCACAACGCCACACCTCCTCCTCAGCATGCTTGGGCACCCTCTGTAAATAAAGGGAAAGAAAACACATAGTCAAAGCATTTCACTTGTGGTGCGACTAGTTTTCAAACGTCTTCGATCATTTGAATAAGTTTAGTTTTAAAACGGGTCAGAGATGCTGTTTGGTCGGATATATTATTATTCTAAAATACATTAAAAAAATCCATTCATACTAAAATGATTTGAATAGATACTGTACACTTCTTCTATAGGCTAATGATGTTTCCATTTCTGAACTAAAAATGTCTTGTTGTAGGTCTTGTACATATAGGTCAACATGTTTTTTTGCATTTGATTTCTGCAAGATTTGTTTTAATAGTCTCGAACTCCATTTGTTACTGATCCATTCATTACTCGCATAGCCTATGTTTCACCGACGTTCTTGTCAGTCTATCAGCTTAACAAAGAAATAGGTTCTGGGCTATAATTCAATTACGTTAGAGACATTTTTATTAAATTTAAACTTGCAAAAAAATAAACGAAAGTCTTGCCAAAATAAATCTGAATACATCCGAAATAAAGATAGGAGCTTATCACAGAATGACACATCACCTTCATCAATTAGGTTATTAATCATGGTTATTAATAGATATACCTATTCAGTTTTATTTAAAATTTAAACTTAAGCGACTGAGGCCCTTAAAAACGTCCGCAAAAATGTCCTGCAAGAATTGGAGGAACGCAAAAATATTTTAAAATATCGTAAATATTTGCGCTGATGCAATATATAGCCTACATATAAAGTATGTAGTTCAAAAATGTTTTACTGGGCTTTTAATTGCATGGCACTTTGCACACAGTTTCCAATTTTACTTGTGATGTTGTAATTGAAAATAAAAAAACGTTTCTTTACGTGTTATTTTGCCATGTTATAATTCGATGATTAAACAGTGGTGAATCATTTATAGGTTATTCACCATCGTCAGGAAATTGTTTTGAATTTTAATTCTTTTTTCTTCTTCTTGAAAATACAGTGAATCCATTTAACATGGCAATTCAAGTGTTATAATCAAAATACTGTTTGTAATCTTTCAATATAAGGTGCTATTTTTACGCAAGGTCATTAGATCAAAATGCTTACATCTTTTAGTTTGGTTTATTTTGTGTATTTATAGCATTCCAATTCATATTGAAAAATTCATAAATAGACTAATGCAAAATATCTTTAATTGTAAAGTGAGACACTTCTGGTCAGTGGTAAAGTCTCTCCTTTAGACATATAGACCACTGAATTGTGTCATGTTACAGTCTTTTGACAGAAATTATATTTCTTTCTTTGTTTTAAACTGTTTAGTAATACTATCGCCGTCGATTTTAACATTAACTCCAGAATTATGCAGCAGCATGCACGTTTTCTTTTTCTTTCTAGTCTTTTTATTCTTTCTTCTTTATCACACTCGATTTTTCTTTGTCTCTTCATGCGAAATTATGTTGTTTTACTTTCATAAAGTGCGTATCTATATATGGATTTTCACTATTATAGGCTAATTACTATTGTTACTTTTAGTTGTGTATTATTATATCTTAAATACTGAATTTACATATTTGCAATCACAGAAATAAAGATATTGACATGGACATTTCTGTAAAGACATTTTCTTAAAAAGAAAGAAAGAAAGAAAGAAAGAAAGAAAGAAAGAAAGAAAGAAAGAAAGAAAGAAAGAAAGAAAGAAAGAAAGAAAGAAAGAAAGAAAGAAAGAAAGAAAGAAAGAAAGAAAGAAAGAAAGAAAGAAAGAAAGAAAGAAAGAAAGAAAGAAAGAAAGAAAGAAAGAAAGAAAGAAAGAAAGAAAGAAAGAAAGAAAGAAAGAAAGAAAGAAAGAAAGAAAAAGTCATACACATCCAACCCCTTCTCCTTATACTAAGATAGTAGGCAAGGTGGCCTCTGGTGGGAGCGCTTCTGTATTTCAACCACTAGGCGACATCATGTGAATGCTGCATTGCAAAGCATCAGTGTATATCAATAAGCAGATGCAATTATCGATTTTTTTTATATATATGTAGTCTTTTACTAGCTGCATGCGTGCACTGAAAACACTGTTCAGAAAAAAAAAATAGTTTTAAACTGTATAATTAAACAGTGGGGCTATAGCCATTAACCGTGCAGTAGCCTACTGTGGGAAGTGGGACCACTTCAGCAAAAGGATTAGTGTGTTAAGCAACTATGTGCTTAACCATGTGCACCACCAAGCTTCCTACAAGACAGCCCTGGTCAGTCTAGAGCATCATAAACATCCATCTAATCTGATCAAGCATGCCTACTTATATGCTTACAGTGGAGTTCACAACACTGAAAATCTGGGATTCCAAATGTAATTTTTAACTTGGGAGTGGGGGGGTACTGAGTATTCTAGAATTTTGAAATGTTTAAAACAGGCCACCAATTCATAAGCAAATTTGTGGCATAACCCTTAATTAGATTAGACGCCATATTGAATTTAACGCGGTCTTTACAAAGGCGCGACCTGTAGGCTATAAGCATTTTTATGCAATATTTTCGTCTACTGAAATTTTGTCTATTAAAAGTTTTTATTCGGGAAGATGCTTTGACATATTATGGAAGCCCGTTTCCGCCACTGAATAAACAGCATGCACGTTTTCTTTTTCTTTCTAGTCTTTTTATTCTTTCTTCTTTATCACACTCGATTTTTCTTTGTCTCTTCATGCGAAATTATGTTGTTTTACTTTCATAAAGTGCGTATCTATATATGGATTTTCACTATTATAGGCTAATTACTATTGTTACTTTTAGTTGTGTATTATTATATCTTAAATACTGAATTTACATATTTGCAATCACAGAAATAAAGATATTGACATGGACATTTCTGTAAAGACATTTTCTTAAAAAGAAAGAAAGAAAGAAAGAAAGAAAGAAAGAAAAAGTCATACACATCCAACCCCTTCTCCTTATACTAAGATAGTAGGCAAGGTGGCCTCTGGTGGGAGCGCTTCTGTATTTCAACCACTAGGCGACATCATGTGAATGCTGCATTGCAAAGCATCAGTGTATATCAATAAGCAGATGCAATTATCGATTTTTTTTATATATATGTAGTCTTTTACTAGCTGCATGCGTGCACTGAAAACACTGTTCAGAAAAAAAAAATAGTTTTAAACTGTATAATTAAACAGTGGGGCTATAGCCATTAACCGTGCAGTAGCCTACTGTGGGAAGTGGGACCACTTCAGCAAAAGGATTAGTGTGTTAAGCAACTATGTGCTTAACCATGTGCACCACCAAGCTTCCTACAAGACAGCCCTGGTCAGTCTAGAGCATCATAAACATCCATCTAATCTGATCAAGCATGCCTACTTATATGCTTACAGTGGAGTTCACAACACTGAAAATCTGGGATTCCAAATGTAATTTTTAACTTGGGAGTGGGGGGGTACTGAGTATTCTAGAATTTTGAAATGTTTAAAACAGGCCACCAATTCATAAGCAAATTTGTGGCATAACCCTTAATTAGATTAGACGCCATATTGAATTTAACGCGGTCTTTACAAAGGCGCGACCTGTAGGCTATAAGCATTTTTATGCAATATTTTCGTCTACTGAAATTTTGTCTATTAAAAGTTTTTATTCGGGAAGATGCTTTGACATATTATGGAAGCCCGTTTCCGCCACTGAATAAACAATAAAAGAGGTAATTGTGACTTTTTATCTCACAATTCTGACTTTTTTTCTCAGAATTGCGTGATACAAACTCGAAATTGCGAGTTATAAAGTCAGAATTGCGAGATATAAAGTTTTAACCTTAAAGTTAAACCTTTTTTTATTTTTTATTCAGTGGCGGAAACGGGCTTCCATACATCTGAACACTCAGTATGTTGTTAAAAAAAAACAGTAGGCTACAGTCCATTGAATTCACTGCAGCTACTTCTATCACTCAGCCTCGTTTTCATTCCTGTCAAAAATTAAATGTGGCGCTACCCAGACTACGGTGTATTGACCACGTGAACTCCTTTTACTAAAGGTCAGATGTTCTTGGTTCTTGCACTATTTGACTATTTTATTATATATTATAGCCGTCTTTATTATACATAAGCTAATGGTAATCCGTGACAACCATATGAAATTTGATTTCATGGTTAGGCCTACTCTTTATTTAAGGTGTCCTTGTTACAGTGTAATTATACTTTTAAGTACTGAGTAATAATTCTTAACTACATGTAGGCCTACTTAATATGTGGTTAGAGGTATATATGGTATATACGTTTCCATTGAATTATGCATAATTTATCGTTATTATAATAGTAAGTACATGTAACATGTGTAACTAGGACACCTTAAAATAAAGTGTTGCCGATTTCATTATTTATAATGGCAGTGATATGTATTTGTAAGTACTTCAGTTCATTAGTTTACGTAGATCAAGTACACTATTAAGATGAGTCAATAACACTTAGCATGAAACTCAGCCAAATGTACTGCTCCTCAAGTGTTTAGCCCCATTTCCTCATGCGCTCGCCGCTCTTCACCCGTGCTTTATAGCCCTCATTTATCACATGACCACGGATCAGCCAATGACAAGCCTTATCTATTTCCTCCAACCTGTTACAATGTAACATCCCCTTGAGCAGCGAAACTGATACAAATGCACGCGACAACTGTCTGTTGTTGTCCATGCTTTTACATTTCACCATGACCCCAATGGAAACAATGGTCTTTAGCTAACAAAAACCGGATACAGGGACCAAGGTATGTAACAATCGGACACATGAGCCCTAATGTTAGCCTTTGCTTTTAGCACAGTAGCATTAATGGTTAGCTAGCTGAGAAATGCACCGCAAGAGATTAACCATACAGTCTATTAGTTAATCTAGTGATCTGCTCTTTAAACTCCTTTATTGTGTATTTGTGTCTCGATTTTGTTTTGAACCGATGCGCATAAGGGCAAACGCTTGATCTACAGAGTAAAAGGGGAAAACAAGCTGCATTGTCCTTCTCGTGAGCTGTAATGTATGTTACTGCAAATTAATGAATGTTAGACATTCATTTCTGGGATCAAAGCAAAATTTAACACGGATGAAATACTGAAAATATATATTACATTATCTTATGGTAAGTCTTTTGAAAGCATGCTGTTACAGAGCCAGTGCCCTCTTAATAACAATGTTATATTTGTATGTATAGGATGCCTTTATCCTATAGTGTGCAGAATATTATACTGTGTGTGTGTGTGTGTGTGTGTGTGTGTGTGTGTATACACATTATTTTCCCATGTGACATTTTCTTGTTATTGTGTCTGTCCAAGCTCACTTGGTGTTAAAGTGAAGAAAAATAGTATAATAACTACAGCAACATCTTTGAGCTACATTATATTAGAAATGCAATAAAAGAATGAATGAGAAAGAAGTGGACAAAATTTTACATCCTGGTCAAGCAAGTAAAGGGAGGAATCAGGGTCGTAACATTGATATTTTTAATTTTTATTTTCTTTAATTAGTAAAAAAAAAGTTATTTCTTTTTAAAATAACCAAAGCAAAATTGCATTGTCATACACATCAAACAACATAACAACAATTTTGATGATAATAATAATAATAATAATAGTGATAATAATATCTGAATTTATTTTTGCATGTTGCATATAAAATGTACTTCACTCCGTAATCAGGGAAGCAGTACATTACAAAACCAAATTTCTCCTTTGACCTTGGGCTGGAATTCATGATGCAGTTTAGTCTGAATGTCTTATATTGACGTAAATAAACTCCAAGCCAAATGTTTCCCATGATAGATATCTGCATAGATCAGTAGCTACAGAAACATCACGTGTACTTGGTGGTTTCTAAGGAAGAGGGCATGTGAAGGGTCAGACACTGAGCCAGCAACAACAGCAAGATTTCTCTAAACGCTTCAGCGAGTGCTATGATTGGCTGAGGTAACAGTGTATCTGAAAGGCCATGTAAGCCTAACTAAACACATTCACTAAGACATTTAAGCTGTCATTTACAGTATGCTGAGAGGTTGTGGCTTAACAAGAGACATGCTGAATAAACTAAAAAGCCTTTAACTCTAAATGATAATTTCATGCTTTATTACATAAACAGTTGTCATTTTATCAACACGATCAACAGAATAGTAGCTATAGTGGTAATGTAAACCAGTCAGTAGTCTGGTTAAAAATGAATGCATACTAATCAATGTGCAAATTTAGCAATAACACTAATCTGAAAGTATACAGTCCTTTTTATAACTCTGTTGGTTTTGAAAAGGCTTTGAAAAATCAGTTCAATGTTTAGATGAAAGTAATCGCCGCCCTTTGATTAAATCCAGTGGGCAGCATTCAAGGATTCACCCAAGCTCGGACTCTGACAGCTTTTGTAAGGATGACAGCTGGAATATTGTTTGCAAGCATGTTCATAATGTTAATTTATCCAAATACATTACAGCTATTTGAAACACCTGAACTGCAGGACTAAAATAGGAATGGATTAAGGAACAAAAATGACCTTAAAATACAAGACTCAAGTTGTCTCTTTATATTGAAGGGTTGATCAGGATTAGGAAAAATCCATTCCTAATCAGATGAATAGCACACACTGATTGACTAGTGTCAGGTTGAGTTTTTGGATGGCTCGAGGGGGATTCACTTTGTCTCTGTTGGATCAGTGTGTAAAGAGAAGTGTACGTTACAATGCAAATGAGTCTCATAATGCCACTCCGCTGTCATGCGTCTTCTCACTTTACAGTGTGAATTAATCATGGTGTATCAAATGACTGCAAACATCATCCTGAATGTGCCAAAGATCGCTACAGAAACCCAACGCAAATAGTCATTACTTAAAGCAGCACTGTTCTGATCCACTTTCGATTATTGTTAAAGATAAATAAATGACTTGAAAGAAATGTTCAACGAGACACAATCTAAATGTTTGAAACCGTTTTGAAATCGGTATATTTTTATAGATATATAGGTTGAAGAAGGCTGTTGGTCTGTAAAATTTTTCTTGGGCTATACAAATATTTGAAGTTGTAAATAAAGCAAAGATTATTCGGGTATGTTTTGTAAGAAAATACTATTTCAGTCATTCTACTTCCAGGTTTCATCTTTACTTCAGTGTGTTACTTGCTGTTTCTCAGTAATTATTTGTGAAATTTACTAGCGGAAAAAAAAAAAACGAGTGAAAATTGTTTCTACACCAGATTTATTATAGTTAGCTAAAGCTAAAATCATAAAAGTTTTTTGTTAAAATTTGTTACAACTACACTTGTGCATATTAAATAAACTTTAACTGAAATAAAATAAATTATAAAATACCTAAACTTATTTCATTTCAGCTAGCTGCCAGGGCAACATGTCTCATTTTCATTTAGTTTATCTTGATATACTAAAAAAATTCAACTTAAATAAACATGAATGAAAACTGTGTATTACTATCAAATTAAAATGAAAAAGAAGATATAAAAATAAAAACTAATTCAAAATATTAATAAATACTGTCAGATATTAAAAAATATCTCAATATAAAAAAAATGTATGAATAAAAATACTAAAATAATACCGTTTTACACTTTTTTTTTTTTCCAGTGTAGCATTGAGAGCTATAGGAGGAATTTTCAATTGAGGTTTATAGAAATTTATTGCAAGTTAGACACAGTATTTGAATAAGTGAGAACAGGCTGTAGGTCTGTGCCGAGTTCATTGGATGTAACTTCTCTTATTGCTTTCGTACTACATTTAGAAAGTGTGATTAGGAATAAAATCTCAATTTTGTATAGTAGTATTATTACCTTTGTCAGACCAAAATAAATAAGTAGTAATGTGAAAATCCAGAAGTAATAGCTCTGTTTTAGAGCAGGACGGTTACAGTCATTGACACTCTGACCTGTGATTAAAGTAATGGCTATTACAGTCACAATGGTAATGTGAGTAGTCAGCTGTTGACACTTGATATGCAGTGGAGTGTAGGGTTAACCGACACATTGAAGTTTCCATAGCTTCTCTGCACATACTAGTATAGAGTAGGTTACAAAAAAATGTGTCACTTAAAAATCCCTCTTTTCCTTAAAGGGGTCATATGATGCGATTTCAAGTTTTCCTTTCTCTTTGGAGTGTTACAAGCTGATTGTGCATAGATAAGATCCCTGAAGTTGCAAAGACTAAAGTCTCAAAACCAAAGAGATATTCTTTATCAAAGTTAAGACTCTGCCACGCCCCCCTAAAACGGCTCGTTCTAACACGCCCCCACATATCTACCTCACTATGTGGAAATATTTGCATAATGCTGCCCAAATGTGCACGCAAAGAAAGAAGGCGTGGTTTCAGTAACCACAGTTAGTGTTGAAGCAGCCATGTCAGGGAGATGCTGTGTGTTTCTAGGCGAATGCAAAAGCACTTTATTTGGCCTTCCGAAAGTAGATGCATTTAGGAATCTTTAAGATTACTTACAACAGAACAGCAACGCATTTTATGGACGACCGTTTC